CTGCTAATCCTGTCCATGCAGAGAGAGGTGCCCCCATTGCTCTGCCACCAAAGAACCCTTAGGGTTGGGGCTGAGTCTCACAAAAGAGCAGCTGCCCAAACCAAAGCACAATCATCATGCCTCAGTGCTGTGCCCCACGTCATCCCTCGTGTTAGCTGGGCTGGAGGGCAGACCTGGGGAGAGAACAGGGTGCTTGGGGAAGGCTGCTTGTGCAGCAAGGACTCCGGATGGATCTCTCCCGCTATGAAAGCAGGGGAAATGCACTTGCAAAGGGGAGACTTGCCAAGATTCCTGACCAAGAGGGCTCAGCTGCCGGTGCCATCAGCTCCTGTGCCTGGCACCAGTTAGGAGTCTCCTTCAGAACCCTCCCAGGGAGCTCCTCCGCTGCTGGGACCTCACTGCTATTGTCAGGAACAGAAAAGGCAGAGAGTGTTCTGGAAGATTAATTTGATGCTCATCACTCCCTGCCTAATCCCTAGGGGATGGTATGAGCACTGATTGCCTTCATCTCTGCTTTGCTCAGGTCTTCCTCTTGGTTCAGTGAGTCTTCTCCTTCAGCACAGGCTCAGACTGTGAGGTCCCAGATGCTGGAAGTGTGCTGTGGAAGGAAACTCCCAGCAGCATGGGGACAGGTGGGAGAACCCCCAGCATCCTGCCATGCTGGGTTACCTGTCCCAGCTGCAGCCCAGCCTGGAGTTTGTGTGTTGGCTAATAAAGTGCTTGGAGATCCTTCTGGATGAAAGGCACTGTGTAAGTGTGGGTGTCAACCTGTCATACACCAGGAAGCACCTCTCTAGACATTAAGGGGTTTGCTGATATTCCTTACCTCGAGCGCAGTTGGCCGGTGGTATCCCTGCATCATAAGATGCTCAAGGAACAGTAATGGGAGTAACGTTGCTTCACAATTCATTTAAGCTCCCTTACACTGAGGCTCTGTTTTCACAGGTTTTCAGTGCACACATCTTGACACCTGGAGCTGCCAAGCCAGCTTCAGACCTCAAACTGGCATGCACAAACCAGCACTTGATGGGCCAGCCTCCAGTGTGCCCTCGCCACTGGTGCCAACTCTGAAATGCTGAGGAGGACATCAAACCCACCAGCTGGGCAGGGCAGGCTCAAGGCTTTGAGTGTAAAAGGCTGGGCTGGGCTGATGTGGAGGTCCCCTGCTCCGGGCGAGGGGCTGGGGGGCCTGCATGGAGAGGGCCTGGGACAGAATGGTGGCACTGCCTGAGGTGCCACGGGGCCAGGAACCTCTCAAGGACACTGTGCCCACAGGACACGAGGAGGCTGCAGGCCTCACAATGTGCCACGTGTGACACTCGTCACGCAGCAGTTACTTGCAAAATCACCCAATGACCAAACATTCCTTGACTATACACTAGACGCAGTGCTGAGGAAGTAGAGTACTAATTTACTGATACAGCAGGACGTGGGCTTATTTTAAAACAAATAATTTCCATTATATGAAATATATGTTATATCTATCTATATGTATGAAATTCACATGCTTTCCTATGCATGCTTTAATTCCTTCCTGATTGATTTCAAATCTAATGTAGTGTCAAGGTTTAAGCATGAATTAAAATATAATTTTTTTGGTATTAAACTGTATAACGTTGTTCATGTTTGCATTCTGCCAAAGGCCATTCTAATCAGATGGACATGAAATAATAAAACACTTCATAATGTACTTCACCAAATTACAAAGAATTTCAAATCTAAAAAAATATACAAAGCAAAAACAAGTATGGCAAATATCAACAATTTTGCCATTCAGGCCTTTTTCCTTGTTTAAATTTTCTGAATTCTGTTTAATATATACTTGTGTTTTACAAGCAATGCCTAAGTGAACAGAGACTTTCTATAGTTTTAATGTGTTAAAATACATATTAGCCCAATTAATATTTAATTAAACACTAGACTGTTTTGCTATATTCAGCTGCTGTGATTGGGTCTATACCATGAACTCTCAAAGGAGAAAGCATTCTAGTTCCTATCTTTCTGTTTATTTATATCCCTCCTACTTTGGTTTTGTAACTGACTTTTATTTTTGTGATGTGAAGTCAGATTACAATTGATCTGGATATATGTTTATTAGGATATGGTGTTTCTCATGTCAGAGAATGAAGCAATCTGATTTATTTGCAACATAAATATTATAAACATAATGTTATCTTTTGAAACTAATCAGGTGTACAATATGTAAATTGAAATGGCTTATTTGCCTTAAAAGATATAATGTTACCTGTACAACAATTTAATATATTGCACTTCAAAATGTAATGTGCACAATCATTACCAAATTTGTTGGTAGGCATCTAGTTTACTTTTGATTTTTTCCAATTATTTTTGTGGGGTTTTTTTGTTTGTTTGAACAAGGTGGAACAAACAGAAATCACAGATTTATAAATATTATACTGAGAATTTTCATATAACAGCAGGGGAAATGTAGAACACAGACTCCTCCAAGTCAGCATTATTAGGCCAGCTGGGGTCTCAGTTTATCTGTAATCTGTTTGGTTTACAATTTGTCTTCATAGAGTCTGATTACTGGCAGGATTAGGTACAGCTTGTCTTAATTGCATGACCTGTTGCTGCAGGTAGGAGGGTTCAAGTGAGTAAAGCAAGTGATTCCTCCTGGAAGTGTACAGAAAATTAGATAAAATGTGTCAGCTGCCATATGTGTACAGGTGTGTGTGTGTGTCTCTATTTTAAATTTCTTCAGTCTAGGAAGAATACTGGCTTTGGTTTTGTGTGGATATTCTAATTAGCAGCTCCACTTCAAGATACCAGTTTTCAAGACTAAAGATGCCAGTCTCTGCACGTGCTTCTGTATTTAAAATAGTACAACAAATATAGGAAGTAGCATCAATATTGTACACTGCCTAGGATTCAGCTCTTTCCTTAATAGAAAATGCTTTGAAAACACAAGGGATGGGAAATATAATGTTTCCCTCTATAGAAGAATATTTCAGGGATTTATTATTTTTTATTATTTTCTTTTTTTTGTCTTTTTTTTTTTTTTTTTTTTGCATTCTCAAAGGATATACATTCGTCTTGGTTTTTGCTTCAAATATAGTTTAAGGCTATTGGTAAAGTATATACCAGATACCAGGCTCAATTTACAGGGGTGTCTTCTCACAGGAACTTCTCAAAACTTCGTCTCTAAAGATTCGTACTTTGAAGCCAAGCATGCTTTATCAGTTGTCCAAAGACAGAACTCATGCTTAATACCACACACTGTAGGAAAAAAGAAGGAAAAAACCAAGCAACCAAACAAAAGAAAACAGATTTGAAGCAATGTCAGATCTGCAAAACCTATGGTACTTCACGTTTTCACTCATCCATCAGGCTGCAGGGTGTGTGGGGTTTGGATTTAAAGTGCTCAACAGGTGAAGAACCAAAGTGCTTGAGTATAATTAAAGAATTGTTCTGCCTATGGCTAAATACATTGCATTTGTTAAAGCAGGTAAACAGGGAATGTGGTAGCTGGGGCTGTCTGTCTCACTGGGTTCTCATTCTTTTCATCTAAACTTGTGTTCAATGAGATTCAAACCTTGGTATTGGGGGCTGCATGTTGCTCATTTTATTGCGTCTTCACCTGAAGACTTCTAAGTGCTGGATTGCTTGGTTGGCTCTGGAAGGTAGGTGAAGTGGAATAATTCTGTCCTAATTTGGTTTAAATGAAAGCCTCTTGACTGTGGTAGCTACCACTTCTCTCTTCTGACAATATGAGGCTTGAAAATATATTATTTTCCTTATATTTCATGGCTGGGAATCACTTATCTCTTGAGTCAGGATTTTTTTTTTTCTATGTCTGAAGCAAGCAAGAACCTTATTCTTGCCATAAACGATACTGCATAGAAAAATAGTTCTAAAAAAAAATACAATTGTAAACCACAGTTCACCTTTACCTTAACATAACCATTTAAACTTATATATACTTACCACTCACATTCATATTTCTTAAACTGTTTACAACATCACAACTGGCATTTTAAACAAGCAAGATTTTTTTGTTCTCAAGGATACCCTGGAAACTCAATTGTTATAACAATTTGAGAGTTTGAAATAGTACATGTAGCACAGCTCTTGAAATGAAAGAGATAAGGTTTATAAAATAAATATTAACATGTAAAAGAACAGTTAAAAATGCAATGAGTGGTCCAAAGGAGCGAGTATAACTTTTTCTTTACTCATCTTACTACAGAAGATCTAACTTTTTAAGGCTTCCGTTTTCCTTTCACCCATCACTCAAGTCCTCTTGCATTACAATTTTGCTTAGGTTTCAGAGTGTCGTTATACTGCTAACAGGAAACGTTTCTTAGTGGACATTCCCACCATCACCAGACTTGTATGCTTCTTGGTTTCTGATGAACTTTGGAGTTTTAGTGGCTGGATATCCCTGTTCATCTCCAGAAACTCGAATGAGATGAGAGGTCTAATGTTATTTTGCAGTAACAAAGATGAGAAGAGTGGCAGAGCACATGGGTAAATGTGTTAGCTGGATTCTAGGAAAAGAAACTGAAGGTCAAGGAGATAAATGGGTTCTTTCTTTCCTGCTCTTTACATTTGTAGCACCTTCTACTTGGATTAGCTAATGCCTCTAGTGAATGGTGAGATGCACCCATTTATAGTTTGTTATTCTTATCCCTAATTATCACACATTTTATAAAAATATAAATAACAAAAAGTAAGCTGGGTTCCATCTCAAGAGGTGTTTCTTGTTGTCCTCTGAGAATATATCGGATAAGTCAGGTCTTGACAAGCCCTATCCATTGTAGCTGATTGTAAGTCAGACAATAAATACAAAAAGAAGTTGTTCTTGCGGTGAGCTCAGCAAATTCTGAGGAAATCAAAAGCATTCCACTGTGCTTATGGCACAAAGAACACAACATCAAGGGCATATTTAGTGGAGAGAATGAGACAAAAATTACCAGGTAAGTGACAAACTGTACAAGCATTTTGTTTAAAAAAAGGAACTCTGCAGCATTCTGTCTTTAAAGCCGGGTTTGAGCCTCTGGGATATAGATCTCAATGCTGTCTGCACGCTCTGTGGCTGAATTCTGCCGGAAAGAGGCTGCTCGCTTGGCAGCCATCAGCCGTCTCCTAGCTTCTTGCCGTTGTCTGTCAGGTAGGTCCAGAGATTTTTCTCTTGTGATAGGGAATTTTCCTTTAGGGGGCTTCTTTGGTACAGGAGGAGGAATCTTTCTTTCTTCCTGCAACAGGGCATTAAAACTAAGGGTGAGCTGTGTGTAAAAGGTACTTGTCAGCAGAGCATGCACATCAAAGACATGAAATGCGAAATACTGATTACATACATCAAGCATGCTCAATTTTTGCTTGCCCATCAGCTGACTAATGGATTACATGAACAGCTATCCACACTAGGGACACTGACAAAACCCTCTTATTTGACAACCATTATGCATTCTGCAGTCCTGTGCCTGAAAAAAAAGACTGCACTTCCTTCCACCATCCTTGCAGGTATTGGCACATGCAATCTGCACACCTCACTTTCATATGGATTTGTTTGATTTAAGCTGACACATTATTACACTCATTATAAACAGAAACACACACTGTCTCTCCAATAAGAATTCAGCCATCTGTGTGGTCTGATCAAGTGAAAAGACTCTCTAAGATTAGCAGGACAGGATTTTTGATTAAATTAATCATACTGAGTTTAGCCTCAGCTGGATATGAGATGGCAGCTGTGTATACATGTCTATTAGTTTAGTCTCCTCCAGGAATTGCTCTATGGAAACATTCAAGCCAGAGAGAGAACATAGGGCTAATTGTTCTGCTTGCAAGGCTGGGCTATTTTAAAGAAAATTATTCTGAAGAATTATCAAATTATAAAGTGAAGTCAGTAGATTTTGTTACCAAAGGAGCTGTAAATTTCTCTGCAGGTGTTAAATCAAGAATTGTTTTGACCATTTAGAGACTGTAAAATATCATATGAGGGCCTATAATCAAGGCTGTGTACACTAATTTAGGTTAGAAGAGATGAACCTCTGGAGGTGATTTCATACAATCTCCATTCAAAGTGGACTTGAAATTAGATGCAACTTTGAAGTTAAATCAGTTTGGCTTGGTTTTGGTTTCTTTAATTTTTTTTTTAATTTCATGTTTAATATTGGATTGTATAGCCCTGAAGATGAAGACTCCGTAACTTCATTTGTATAGGTATGATTATTATCATAGACCTTTTTGGTATATAATTTCTTAAAGTAATGGTCATAGTCCAAAGTATGGGCTGTTCTTTATGGAGAACACAGTTAATTTGATGCACAGCAGGATTCCAATAATACAAAAATTGAACTGATACACTTAAGGTTTCCAGACTCCTCTTTTTTTTTTTTTTTTTTTTTTTTTTTTTTTTTTTTATGTTTGGTTGGGTTTCTTTGGTTTTTTTAAAACTAATTCTGACTCCACTATCCAAATGCAATAGCCAAGACTAAATAACTAAGTTTATTTAAAAACATAGTTCTGCATTAAACAGGAACAGTGCAACAGCCTAAGGTGCTATTCCCCATGATAGCTAGTTCTGCCTGTCTTTATTTTCTCTATCTCCTGTTTTCATAAAAGCTCCATTCCTGTCATCCCATCTTATTTTCTTTTCCACTTTTAGTTATTTCCCTCTTAGGAATATCACTGTTGCTGTCACTATAATAATTTCTTATTTCCAGTTGCCACTAGTAAGCAAGAGTTGCAAACTCACCATCCACCAACCCGTTGGCTGAAAATTAAAATCCAAGAGGAGCATGAAGAAATGAAAAAGTTGTCAAAATGCCTCCTAATTCCTCCCAAACCAAACAAATATTCACCTGAGGCCAACAGTACTGACTCAAACCAAATGCTGTTTTCATCTGACTGATACAATAATAAGCAAGGATAGTGGGATAATCAAGGTAAGGGATGAAGTGCTAGAGAGGGGAAAGGCAGTTTCAGAATTACACAGCTTTTATGGGCAATTTGTCACCTTTGGTTTGTAAGCATCATGTGGGGTGTCTCCCAAGCGGTGGAGTTGCAGGGCAGAGGTGCAGCGAGTTCACCAGCAGCACTTTGTCCCCTGGCAGTATGTCAGCTGAGCTTTAGTGTAACCTGTGCTATGTTCTGTCACATGTTTTTCTCTCATTCTGTTTCCATTATCATTGTGTCATGCAGGCAGGGTTCACACTGCAGTGTTCAAGTTTGAGCTGCCCCAAATGTAACAGAGCGCTGAATTTACCTTGTGTGAATTCTTGGGCTATTGTCTTCCATTTGAATTAATAAGAAGGTATTTCTGTTCTAGCCTTTAGAATGTGAATCAAATAATTTGAACAAAATGTCGTGGAGTAAACTAGCTTAGCAAAATCCATTATATTTGTTATATAATTCAGCTCAACATTGTTAAAATAGAAAAGACTTCTGACATCTGATGAAAGTTTCCATGTAAAAATTGGGCCATGCCAATTAAATACTTCCCAGGGTTAGAAACCTATTGTGTTTCACTATTGTATTTAACACAAGGAGACTGCAGAACTACAAATGGGGAGTAAATGGTATTGTCCATGGTCTGCTTACCTTCCTTTCAGGTGATTCTATTATTTTCCATTCATTGAGTTTCAACTGGTGCAGTTCATCAAACTTCATGCTGACATCTTCAATTGAGAGCTGCAGTAAGTCCCAGAAACCTGCAAGGTCCTGGGAAGTTGGTCTTGGCATGGCACTCGGGTCCTGTAGCGCACAAAGGAGAGAACTTGAATACTCCAGGAGGCTTTCAGCGGCGTGCACTGAGGCAGGAAGGGCATGGTGCCAGATTTCATTGCTGCAGCACTGCTCAGTGCTAAGGCTCTGCGTGCTCTGCAGCTGGGAGCTGTGACTGGAAAGCTGTGCCTCCTACACAACCCAAACATGAATGAATTGGATGTCACACGCGAGCCTTCCTGAATCTGCGGCATGGGAAGTTCCTTAGCACCATATGCTGTGCTGACCTGCATTTCTAAAAAGGAACAAGCTGACAGCCTCTGTCTGCTGATTATTAAAGGCAAGGGGAACGTGGTTTGTATTCCAGCCAGCCTGAAGTCTTCCTGGTTAAAAATTGCATTCACAATAGCTGATTAAGACAAAACAATGCCACAAAGACATCACCTTATGCTGAACTTGATGTATACATTGTCTTGGATTTTCAAATATATATGTGAAGAGTGAAATCTTGATGGGCTGCTTGGATTTTCTTCTCCAGGGAGTTGAATCACACTCAGGAACTGGGAAGACAGTACCACCAGGTACTGCAATTAAGAGGCTCTATGTGCTTAAGACTTAATGGAGCAAACATTGGTGGTAACAATTACAAAGATGACCCTCTATTTGATAATTAACCTAATGCTGGATAAAAATTGTATTATAAGGTAGTATGCAGACTCTTAACCCTATACTCTCTGAGCACTGGTACTAGGTTCAAGAAGAGAGCTTTGTCACTTTATTGAAATAGGCATTAATTGGTAAACATGTCTGTGAATGTAATGAAGAAATGCCTTTTTCCTTCCAGGACAGGAGGAAGCCATTATAAGAATGGAGCTGGGAGAGAGGATGTCAAAAGCATGCCAAAGAGACTCTGGATCTCTCCCTTCCTGGCCAAAACCTGTAAAGACTAACTTGCTATGTCAGCACCACTGCTGTTATGGCAGCCTCTGTTCCCCACCTTTTTCAAATCTAGTGGTGAGAGGCATTTTACCTTTAAACACAACCCCACAGCTGTCTAGAAACTGAGAGATAAGTCAGCATTGCTATTGAATTCCTCCCTTGAATCACACATTTCTAAGGATTTTAAGGAACTGCTGCTCAAACTTGGGTTTACACATGCCACTGTGGGAGATTAGGGCCTGGAACTGAGCATGACAACATGTAGTGTCACCCATAGACCCCTACTGGAATCTGGGCCAAGAACTTTACAAGCCTTCTTCACTAGGAGAAAGTTTCCTTTTTATAGGGAGCTTCAGGGATTTAAGAGGCCATATAGATTATAACAGACATCTGGGTAACATTACAACTCCAGATTAGTGTTACGGAAAACTACTTCATTGGATGGATCCCAATTTGTTACAAAACAGTTTAAAATTTATGTCAGTGGGGTTATTTACTCTACAGAGGTCAATATTTCAGGTTTTAGGAACTGACTCCCTGTGTGAAATTCATGAGGAGGGTCCCACAGCAGTCTGTCTTATCTTGCAATCTGTTGTCTCCTGCCTGGTCTCCTCACTCACGCTCCCCAGTTTCCTCTAAACAGCCAGAAAATGATTCCACTCATTGCAAGGGCATTGCCTTCTGAGTCAAGGCTAATTGCTGTTCTGTACCTTTGTGAGCCTCACTCTGCTCACAGTGTTTGTGAAGACCGTGGCCTCCAGCACGACTCCTGCAGAGGGCTGTGCCGTGTGTGCTCTGGACACAAGAGGGCTGCCTCCTGCTTCTTACACATCCACAGCTCATGAATAAACGCTGGCACAAATGAGTACTATTACAGCCAACTAAGTTTTGAAAAGATTGGCTTAAACCTGCTTCTTCTCAGAAACTGCTTATTTATTTGTATCTTACTTGGAATTCAGCTTCACAGCCCTGCTTTTGAAGGAGGCCTAAAGCAAGGAACAAGCACCTAGATGGTGCTCAAGCTGCTCTGTTTAAGCCTGCAACCATGACATACAAGCTGAGCAGGATCTGTGCTGACTAGAGAGCATGGAGAAGGGCACTTCAAAGAAAATAAAGGGTGTTACAAAAAGCAACGTTAATAATGCAAAAGAGACTAGTTATAAATCAGTAATGACATTTTCCCAAGTAGTTAGTGGGAACAGTATACATTTAGGAGATAGCCAGCCAGAGTCATAAAATAGAAAACTTCATTGAAGCTTACATTTCTATGAATTTACCCTATGTCAGATAAGTGCTCCTAACACAGAGCATAATCAAATGTACCATTTGAAGTTCCCATGATCCTTTAGAAAAGTCCACAGGTGACCTTCATGCTTAAATTTCAGTCTGAGTAAGTATATTCCTCTGAAACCCTTGTTGTTTGAACTGGCACAGTTAAATGCTGTTGTTTTGTGTCCTACACTTAAACTTAGAGATGCTGAACGCTGTCAGAGAAACTGCTGTGTGGCAGCCCTGCACTTGCTGGGTGTTTTAGAGAAAGGGAGTGCACAAGCTGGCAGCATTCCCCTGGGGCACTGAGATGCTGCCTTAGGAGCATGGAAAGCCTGCTGTAGGCATGCACTAAGTGACTATTTAGCCTCAAAGCTTATCATTAGGTATAGGAGGAAAAGCTTCCAGGCATGAATGACCTACAGTCAGTTTTGCAGTTGCTACTTTCTGCAGAGCCCATTATTGATTTAATGAATGTGAAGGATACTCAGAACCTAAATCTTGAGAGTGAGGTAAAGATGCTGTTATGGACTTCAGAGGTTTATTATACAAAAGAGAAAAAGAGAAGTAAAATCTTGCCATCTTTTTGGTTGTGTTGCCTACAAAGTTGTAGATTTCTCCTTGCACTCTCTATTGCTTTTGCAGTAATGAATTGTTCTTTCTCCCAAACAGCTGAGTGTTGTGCTGAGCAGGAGCTGCACTTGCTATTACAGTAATGCTCTCGAGCACAAGTGCTGGGCCCACTTGAAGATAAAAGAAGTGGAGTCGAGGTTAGGCTCTCCAAATCTTAGTTTGCACAGCTTAATCAATCAGGTAATGGAGGGCATTTTTAAATTTGCAGAGAGAAAGTTTCAGACAATGATGAAGATTCCCTTCTTTTGGTATGAAACAAATTACTAGATAGGGAGCACACATCATATAATTGATAATACAGATGTGGTCAATTCTTGCTTGTCAGACTTTGTATATTTCCTCTGTTATTCTGTAACAGATTTTAAAATTTTTGCTTTGACAGACTTTTTGATAACTAATGAGGACCATGTATCTTAATATTTTCTATCAGAAGGTATGACATTTTTGTTGTTATTTTCTCAGTATTATTTCATTGTACGTATTCTGGATGTTTAACTTCATGGATGGAAAGTACAAGTAGGTCTTTGCAGAATTGCAAAGAGGTTCTGCCTTGGAAGTTATGTGACAAATCCCAATGAGCAAAGAAAAGTATGTAAGCAGATTATAGGTTATGTCTGCTGTCATGCACACAACCAAATTTCAAGATTTGAGGTTTAAGGACAGTCAGAAGGAAAAGGTACACTTGCTATTTGAGAGAGACAAAAAAAGGTTTTCTACCACCACCTACAGCTAGAAGAATTATGTTCTTCTATTGGTTAGTATCATCTTGCCACAGCATTTGTATCACTGATGGCTGCTGTCATATTAATGAAGATAACATTTAGAATTGAATTAGTCTCTAATGAACTTCCAGAACAATAGCAGTTACCCTCATAAGTTATATAATATATCTGTTCCTTTAGCCCCAGGACATCTCATATATAATTGGCAACACAAATTATCCAACTTAATTTGATGAACATTATAGATATCTCATTTCCATGATCAGTCCTATTTTCAGGTAGGTAGAAATGGATTATGTATTCTCCAATATTCAATTTTATGATTTTCCACTGATTTTAATGTGAAAATTTCCCCCTTCCTTACATGAAATATAGTTACTATATTAGGGTATTGCAAAAATAAGCCATAATATTACGTCTCAGAAAACTTGTATTTGTTCCCTTCTCATTTTATTTTGTTTAATAAAGACAGCAAAAAGAGAAAAGCAAAACATAATCAGATTGAAATTACTGAATTTATATATATGCTTAAAAAATCTACCAACATCATATATAAGGATTAAGTTTAAAAATAGGGGAAAAAATGTGGGACATGAAAATAACATTTCAGAAAGCTACTGCTCAGGTGCATTACAGCTGTTTTTGAAGTAAAAATATTGAATACTAAAATTTAAGTGACATTTTGTGGAATATTATGGATGAAAAAACTTAAACTCTTCAAGAATAACCAGGCAAAGTGACTTACCAGATTTTGCTGACAAAGCCAATAAAATTGCTGGAATTTCTGAGACATGAGGAGCTGAGCACTTCCAACAGCACTTCGGATCTTACCTAGGACTAAGCATACAGATGGATTACTACCAATAAATGTTTTTTGTCAGTAAATACAATATTCAGCTCAAAAAAGTGCAGGTGAGTTTCCTGGTTATTTTAAAATAAAAGTAAATATTTGGTTTTGTTGTTTGTGATTGTACACATAAAACATTTTTTAAAAAGACTGAGGTATAGGAAAACTCAGTGGCATCTTTTGGCAATGAGGAACGAATAATAAATGATATATTAATAAGTCAAAACAGCTTAGACTTTACTTGTTTAAGAAAGTAGAAAAAACTAAGGGGCTATATTCAGCTTTCTGAAGTGGGCATCCATTAATCCATATGACTTTGAAAACACTTTTAAATTTCAAAGTAAATGACACCTCTCCCATTTACATTTGCTCATGTAAATTGAGAGCTGTTGAAATTGTCTTGCTTCAAGAACCAGTAGGATATCTGTTCCTTCTGAAGTTGAAGGCACATGTACCTTAGATTATACCTTTTGGTTCTGCAATTGCAAATTACTTCAGTCACTACACTTGTGTGGATGATCCCTGGGTGAGATCTCTTTATCAATTCTGAGGGTAAAGTTACTACATTCAACTGTAATATAACATAAGGATTAGATCCTCACAGGAATTACATCTCTGAGACATATTTTGGTACACCCACAAGGAATTACAGGTTGTCTGCCCAGGAAAATATACAAAGTCCTCAGCACAGGAGCTTCAGACAAAGTGGGACACAAACAATGTGTGCTCCAGGACTTTGCTGAGCCAGCATCAGCTCCTGTGGATGTGTTGGTGTTTTCTCACTGTCCATATGCACATGTCCATACAGTATGCACTGGGGAAAATGACCAAACTCATTTTACTTTGTTTCCAGATGACCAAACTCGTTGGCTTTGTTTCCAAGAGTCATCTGTCTAAATTAAAATTTTTGAATTCATTATAATCAGTGATCTGAGTTCAGCAGCTCAGCCATGTTAGGCACTTATTTTTAGATGAGCTGAATTTCCTCCTGGAGATGCTTCAGTCTGTCCATTGACAGCACTACCTAAGGGGATTGGCTTATCTCTAAGAAACTAACTCATCCTGACTCCCACACCTGCTGGGATAAATAACACACTTTGGTAGGTGGCACCGTGCTTTTCTATACCTTCCTACATATCCTTTCCTACAGTTCCTTTCCTCCACATCCATCTCTATGATGAAAAAAAAAAAAAATTAAAAAGCATTATAAACTGTGGTCTCAGTGAAAAATTTATTTTAGCAGGAGAATTTCCAGATCATTAAATAATCTTAAAGATATAGAGAGGTGGGGTAAATGTAGAAAGGAATTACTCTGATATATTTTACTTCAAATTGGAGAAACCAAGTTTGATAATTCAAACAGGATGTTAAGTGTAAATGTGGAATAAAGCTGATACAGCACAACTGATCTGCAGCCCCTGATATAGGAAACATTAAAATGTGACAGGGCTTATAATTTTGTTGTTATTTAGAATAAGTACAGGAGGGCATGTCAAAACAGTATTTTGGTAGTAGATTTTACATTTTAATTCTGCTTTCTTTAGACCAGTGAAACATCTGCTCACCTACAAGTAGTAGCAAGAGACAATTTGAAAATTTTGGGCTCTAGTTAAAGTCTCAGTAACTTTCAAGGCATGTGCTAGTATGTAGAGTTGTGGGTCTCAAACTCTATTCCATTTTCTGTTAGGCAAACAGTACAGCTGTGCCACAACACTAAATTAAACAGAAATATACATAATTCATCAGTCCTGTGTGACATCCATTGTAGAAGGGTTAAGTGGTTCAGGGCTGCATGAGTAATTCACTGAGGATTGTTTTTGTTCTGCTGGCCAAATGAAATAAATCATTTTAATTGGTTTGGGGGTTTTTGATCATCAAACCCCTCGCTTTCCTCTACAGTGTTATTGGCATACAGGAGGGAATAGTTGAGTGTTAAAGCCTGAACAAACATACAAAAACATAAATAAAAAAGAAATGTTTCATTTGATCTGACACAAATTGCTTTAATTTGGTTTTCAATATTTTTAATAAAGGCAATGACTTTAGTGATGAACAGCCTTGTATCCTCCTTTTTTCTCTTGGTGATTGGTAGCTTAGGACATTAGACAAACTCCCAGTACGGGGTCAGAGGTCCTCCTTTTCCAGGATGAGGAATTGTGCTGTATTAGGTCCCTGACATCACCTATTCCATGCTATGTTCAATGATTTACTGGACAAAAAAAGAGTGAGGTTGATTCCATGGACTGATGGTTGTAATGGTTGTCTCTAGTGAGTAAAGTTCAGTTTTAGTTTCCTCTGCTGAATTTTACAGTTCATAGCTCAAACACATGGCCTGAGTAAGGGGCATTGGTTTTAGCTCCTCTGCAGAAATATAGATCCTGACAGAATCTATATATGTCTGATATTTTCTAGTGAACCTCAGCTACCCGAACCCTCATACTAAATAAACATTAATTTTATCTTCATTATCATGAAGCATCATGTCAACAAGCATTAGTGATTTAAAGCCCAGTCAGACTGGTCAAGATTTAGGCACTGACAATGTAGCATTTTGGTGGGATACACATTTGTCAGGGATATAAGGCTGTGATGGTTGCATGTGCCATTAAGTCACAGTGCTGAATACACATGTATAATTACAGCCCTAGAATTTATTAAAGATCTAACTCTATTTCCATTTTAATAAGTAAATCTGATGTAATAAAACATAGAGGTTAGAATCGCTCATATTCATGCTACTCTGCCTTGCTGTAATTAAATTAAAGTATTAAAACACTTCAACTCATAATCTTTAGCACAATATTAATAGACATCCAAAGCCTTGTTATTAATTTCATGCATTGGGGAATTATTCTGATGAGTGCAGATTGATTATCTCCATGAAAAAATGATGAATGCTAGAGACTGAAGAGATTGAGATGTTTGGTGATGACTAGAAGATTTTTCTTGTAAATAAATGATGATAAAATCTATCAATACACATAGACATAATATTCATATAATCCATAAAACTCCTTGCATTAGGATAATTTTGTATTTGCCCAAATGTCAGGAAAGAGTCACACAACCTTAATTCTTCTCCCTGAAGCATATGAAGCACTCCATTTTTGTTGTATGGCCCTGTATGACTTTAGCTCTGAAGACATACAAAACTCTGACCATGACTTCAGTAAGAGTAGGCTCAGGATTTCCATCCCGATTAGAGATTGTGTAAATTGCACAATTAACGCAATTGTGTCTTTTCCCCTGTATGTGTGGAATTGCTTGAGAAATTCGACAAAACCTTGTAATCAAAAATTATTTCATATCACAAAAGTAGAGAGGGAAAAGTTAGGTCTGTATTGATGAAATTGATTATGACCTGATGCTGTAACTCTGATCTTGACAGGTTAAAAGCTTTGTTCAATTGTGCCACTGCTGCACCAGCAGTGCACCAGCAGTGAGAAACTGCTAACAATCAATCTTCTTCTGGCATTCATTACTGTCTATTTAAATGACATATTTTAATTTAAATTTTCATTCCATTTGATAATTTCATTCCCCCCCCCCATACCTGTAAATAAATTACTCCACAATCTGAAATAATATGCCTGGAAAAATATTGAAACTGGCATTCAGTTCACCCTCCTAACTCAAAGCAGGGCATGATATTTGTCTAACTCTAAACTTAAATTAGTAATCTTTAGAAATATCATTTTACTATCAACAGAGTGTCTAGACACAAAAATAAATATATAATGTACAGATGGCATTTTAGGACAGCACAGCCCTCATCTGGCAGTGCTCTGGAGGGTAACGGGACCCTTGTTCACAACGGGTGAACAAGGGTCCCATTAAAAGCTAAGTTCAAAAAGGAGAACAAAACAAAGCTAAGTTCAAAAAGGAGAAAATTTCAGCAGAACAATACAAATGCTGGGAGAAATTATTGGATCTCAGAGTGTAGGATTTTACAGACTATTTCAGTACAGTTAAGACATGCTTTAGTCATTCACAACACTCCAACTGGAAACTTTAATATCTCCTGAAGCATAGATTTGTGAAAAGCTTTAGAAAATTATGTCAGTAATTTCTCTTTGGTTAAAGGATAACCTATATTTGGTCAAACACCTAAGAAAGCTTTTATGGATAATTAATTCATGAATATACTAAAATCAATTGGCTGTGAGGTTTTTTTGTTGATTTTTATTCACCTAAAATTATGGGAGATTTTACTCTGTGTTTTCTATTACTATTCAGTCCTATTAGTAAAGCCTTTGCAGTACTGTGGAAATAGCAGCTAGAGGATTAGTAAGGAATGGTCCAGTATCCATGGAATCAAGGGGAATGGGAGACAGAGGTGATACTTTGAACCCCCACTCTAATATCTTTTTTTTTTCCCCACTAGATATCATTTTACTACTGTGCCAGCAGAGCTGCTAACCACAATGCAGAAAATACCAGCAAAACAACATTTCTGCTGGCATAGTTTATTCTATAGTTAATTTTTGAACGTATCTAAGGATTTTTATGTGAGAGTAAACTCTGTAGAGCTGTTCTCCCTAACAAAGTACTCCAGTGGCCAAGCAGGTGGCACTGAGAAACCCAGGGTTGTCTTCTTTCCCCTGCCAAACCCTGCCTGCAAGCTGCGGGCAGGGACTGCGGTTCCCTGTCCCTGCTCTGCTCTCCCTGCTCCCACCACCATGCTCATGGGATGCAGACTCCTGACCCTCTTGGTCTTCAATAGCTTTGTGACACTTGAAATTGTTTTCTTTGTCATCACCTACACACTAATAGCCAAACACAATTTTCAGGGTGTAAAACTGAAAGTCCAGTCAGCACCCATGAGAATATATCTTTGCCTGGAGGCACCCTCTGAGTGCAAGTGACCAGATCTAACCCTGGGAACTGTTACGGACACATATCTATATTTTTTACATATAATGAACACACACACATATATAAAAATAATAAACAGAGCACAAATAACTGCTTCCACGAACGATATAAGAACTTTGCAGAGACTTCAGAATAAAACTCACGGCAACTGACCAAATAAAAAAAAAAGCTCTGAAAAAAGGAGAGAGAGGTTATTTTTGTTGCAATGATTATCTCTTTTTCTAAGACCTGATGAGTGAAGTTCTTAAAACAACATTATGGAAGAAAAGGTTCAGTGAAAGAAAAAATCAATATAGCAATCAGACAGCTTTTGGTGATCTCAGGGCTGCTGTACTAAAACCAAAACTGAAATTGTTTTCTAAAATGCAGTTCTATTTTAACTGTTGCCATGTTTAAAACAAAATAGAAGTGGTATCATAAAGACAGCCTTCTCCTATGAGATGCAAAGCTATATTCGGTCTTTATGTACAATTAATATATCCAGGCCAAAAAGAAATGATTCAGAATTAAGAATGACAGTTTGAATGTGCAAACATTGCTGTGAAGTGTTTTGGGAATAGTAGTCTTGCTGGAAGATGGAAAACCATATTTATTTGCTTTTGCTCAGCCATTTCTGTTTATTTTCTTCAAGAACTGGCAAATGTTTAAATATGTCAAGATACATTTCATGCTGTGATGTTATTAAACTTAAGTTCTTGAGGATACACACCTTACAACCTCTGTAGCTTAGACTGGGGGTACAAAACATTTTAAAGACTCAACAGGAAAGAATTATTCAGACAGAGTTTTTAGAATGCTGTGAAGCTCATTCCCGTGCTGAAATTAATTATTTGAAAACTTCATTTTACTTAATGTAAGTGTTATTGGATGAAGGGATACCACTTAAATATAATGTAATTTGGAAATGATTTAAGGAAGATCTCTTGAAAAGCATTATATACAATGAAAAATCAGAACTTTAGACAGTCAGCTGAACACAAATTCTGACCTTGCAAACACTATGTAGACGTATTCTATAACTTCTTTAACCTATTAGGGAGGTTAAAAAGTTCCCCCAAGAACAAGTAATTAACCTTTTTTTGTTAGTTTAAAAAAGAAACTTCAACAGTTTTGATTGTATTTCATCAACTCTGTTATCAGGGAATTGCTCTTTCTTTTCCTATTCCAAATTTGAGTCCCTCTGCAAGCAGGGAAAAAAAGTCCTGGTACTGTGTTTTGTTTTTTGACTGAGATATTCCAAGTTAGTGTCACTAACTCCTAATATTAATAAAAATTACTGGAGTCCATATTGTCTTCATGTCCTATAAACAATTTTTAGAAAACTACCTTCTTCATTGCCATTTCACCATGCAGTAAACTCTTCCAGAGTATATCTGGAGTGCAAGAGTATAGGTTCACATGCTGGGAAGGAGAATGGTTCTGCATCTGAGAACAGGTAGTCAGCTAAAGTCAGGTCATCCAAGTTTTCCTCATGTAGTACCCAGTTTCATATTCCAAAGAGTAACTGCTCTAACTGCCTCTCCACATCTCCCAGTGAGGGAGGGGTAGGGGTGCGAACGTGTTTCCATTGCTCATTTCATACGGCTGCAGATTTGACTGGGGCTGTGCAAAAGGAAGAGCTCACAAAGAGAGGAGGCAGGAGAAGTCCAGCTCTTGCCTGCAGACTCTTTGCTAGGAAAGAGAGGGGCTAACGGCCTGTGTGTTTCTCCCTTTTGCTCCCCAAATAATCTTACTCTTTCAAAAGTGATCAAAGTCTTGCTCTTTGAACTTCTGCTTCAGACAGAAAACACTGATGTTCCCACATCAGTAACAGGTGATCTGGGAAGCAGGTGCTTTGGGATTCTTAATGATGTCACTGAAATGTCAGTATTCAGCACTGCAAAGACTTGAAACATTGAAAAATAGGACACATGCAAAAAAAAGAAGTACTGAGGAATAACCATTATGAAAGGCTTGGAAAATCTTCCACAGGCTAATCAAAGGAAAAGATGTTGTTATTTAACAGTCCTAGAAGGGTGTTAAAGTCTTCACAGTATCAATGGAAAAGGGAAATTCTGAGCTCTGCTCTGCCATGATGAAAATAAGGACAAAACCCACAGTTCATAAAGCACCAGAGGCTGAAGGAAGGAAAACTCACCTCCCCACCCCCAGTCCTACTTGGCAGACTTGTGCACAATACAGCAGAGAAATATGACTGTAAAATAAAAAAACGATGACGTAAAAACATAGACATTTTTTGCTTTGAAAAGGTCAGTGCAAGAAATAGAAATTGGCCTTTTAGTCACCATGCTGGCCTGGCTCAAGACCTGAGGGTACATCATAGCAAGAACTCATAGAGGAGGAAAGACGATCAGGAAACAATACTCAGAGGTGATGGTGAAATTTGTAAGAGTGCAGGAAAGGATGCTAGTAAGAAAACTTAATATTAATTCATTTGTGGTCTGAGAAAATCTCAGCTGAGACAATAATTCAGATTGTCAGGGGTTGAAATATTTATAAAACTGGGCCTGAAGAACAAGGATAATTGACCTCAAAGGGAATCACAGGGAGCTGGCTACTGAGTCCTAGGACCACTTTGATATATTACTATCATTAGCGCTGTCTTGGATCTTGTTCCAAAATAGTCTACATTATTTTTCACTTTATCCCATCACTCCTTTCAAGGTGTCCACAGGACATGAGAGAATAATAATGATTCTTGACAAAATTGTAATAAGAAAATGGAGCTGAATTTTCTAATAATGCATATGCCTGTCTAACTGCAGAAGTACTTTAACTGTTGTTCCTGCCTGCTATGCTTTCTGTTCTTCCAACAGGCTGAAGTGCCTGTAAAGGAATGGAAACATTTTTAAAATGACTGCTCACTAAGAGGCAAAATCTAGGTTTCAGGAAAAGGGCAAAACAATGTTCATATAAGACCACCCTGTGTGCTCTGGCAAAGGGTCAAGCACTGGAATGGGAAGAATGTGTCAAATTTGGAGCTGTGGATGGAGCTATTGCACCATCTGAGCTCTGTGTAATACCAGACAATGCTTTGGTCCTGCACTGGACTCTAGAGTTGGTTCTTTAACTACTTCCACAAAACCTTACTCTGGGAAGCACCATCTTGTGCAGCCAGCCACAGGACAGTGTTCTTATGTATTATGGTTCTTTGCTCCTGCAAGATGAGTGAGGACAAACCACAACTCACAGCTTTATCCTAACAGATTTCATATTTTAGTAATCGTCTGTATACTGAAAATATAGTGAAATGTTCTTACTTTCTTCCGAAAGATCATTTTCTTCTGCTTCTCTTTCCATTTCTTTGCACCATCCTTCCATTCTCTTAGTTTCAGTGTGTAGTAACTTCATAAACCAAGATCCGTCCCGTCGACAAGGAGACATTCGACCAGTCTCTACTGTCTCAATGGCTGGCTCCAGCCAGGGCTCTGGTGGTGGAAGGTTTGAGGTGTCAACTGGGGTCCTGTAATCTTCTCTGTAACTGAACAGTCCCTGGGTCCGTACAGTTCTCACTGCACTGTATTGGGTGGGTGTGCTGGGCTCTGAGTGCTGCTGGAATGACGAGCCAAATTGAAGTCCCTTATCCTCCATGGTGATGTGTCCTGGAAAACCCTCCAGTTCCAGGTCAGCCTGGACAGCTGCTGTTACACTGTTCGAGCGCTTGAATCGTCCATGTCTTGGGGAAGAGGGAAGAAAGAAAAGACATTAAGACATATAAATAATGTATGTGATGGTACAGAGGCACAGAATAATGTTTCAGTGAGAAGGAATGGATTCTGTTCTTGTTGGACATTATGTTAAACATTTTTGCTTTGTGTATATCTCACTAAAATTAGATGGTGAGTAGCAACAGAGAGGAAAAATAAAACGCATAGTGGAATCATTGATCTAAGCAAGGGTACAAAAGAAAATCATTTAAATTTTCTCTGGAAGCAAATATTGATTTGTTCTCATACTACAAAATAACACACGTCATTACTAAATAAACTGTAAATAACTAGCAGAACTAGAACTTCCTGATAGAAGTCTGTAAAGTATACATGTATAAAACTTTCCAGTGTTCAGAATTTTAAGCAGAAAGATCTGAAAATCTGCTCAGTTAGGACTTTTGAGAATTCTGTAATAAAAGAAAGATAATATCAGCACATTTAAGACTGGGGGTTGGGGTTTTTTTGGCCTTATAGGGTGCCCATTAAAAGTTGATTATCCACTGTTATATGACACTGAATAATGACATTTTAGAAAAGTTTTGTGTTAAAATGTTAGATAGAGAAGCAAAGATTACTTGTGAAATCTATTCACATTGGAGTCCATTGTCAAATTATTTGCAGTTTGTGATGGCAAAAGGCAATTAGCAGCCAGATACTCTCAGACAGCTGCTGCGAGATGAGATAATGGTCCCGGTCCAGTACCTGACAAAGAGTAGTTAGCCGGGTTAACCTGTGGGTCAGTACATGGGCCAGTAGCTTTACAAAATTAGAGAACTGAACAAATCAGAAAGCTGATTCTAGTTTAGAATAAAGGTACCATCCTAAGAATTTTGTCTCCTTTTGTGGACTGGGAAAGCCTGAGGATCAGCATGAGGAGTCTTATCAAAGGAAGACTGTTCCAATATGTGGCTCTTAGTATTTGTTCTCACAATAATTATATAAAGCCACTATTTCAATTTAATACTTTTATTTCCTTCCCTCCAATTAAAAACTGGAAAGTTAGATAAATGTGAAGCAACTGCTAAATAATCTCCACAAATGTTACCAAATGATAAACATGCATATAAGAAATTTGGCTTTGCGAATTATTTAGTGGCAGCACCTGTCAGGTGTTATTTATTAGATCTGTTTACAAATGCATGTTGTGTTACGAAAGATTTTTGAACATGCTTAAATTACCGTTTTTCATCTTCCACTTGAATTCCAACAGAGTGGTATTCCCGTAGGCCTCTGCTTTCAGTATCTGAATCAGTTGCTGTTTCCACCTAATTCAACACAAAAGATACATCTGCAGAGTGAGCATTGACAACTCAGCACAATTTTGCACACACTCATTCAAAATTAATTATATATTTCATCTCTTACTGCTAAGAAACACCTAGCACAGTCAAATAAATGCAATAGGTATTCAGCCTGGCATTATTGTTTTGGTGCTGTATCTTATTAAAGTTTTGAACAAATACTTCTGCTATGTAATTCCCTGTTTCAAATCCAAGCAGAAGCAATTGCTCAGTTTGGTGGGATCAGGGATTAAGCTTGGTCTGGAAGGGCTGTTCTTAGAATGAGGAATCCACAGGGTAACCCCGTCTTATAATATTATAAACCAGTCTCATTATAGTCCTTGATTTACAAAATAAAATAAAGTCTCAAGTAGCCCCATAAGCTTGCAAGTGATAAAAAGAAATGGAGCAATGAAATTTTATTGACAACTATGTTGACAAATATAAAACCATTAAATGATGTGAGGGATACAGCAGAATGCCCTATCTCACCTTTTTTTAATAACACAGTCCTGAAAATGCTATATCAAGCAGGCAATTTATGCACTTTTTATAGCATTCCTATCTGAAATACACTTACCAAAATATATTCACAGTAGTTTCCTTCAAGACTGAGACATGTGTTTGCAACTTTCTGTGGGATTTTATATAGCATTCCCCACCACCACACCGCCCCCAAGTCTTTGACACAGACAGAGCAAGTGCTGCAGTATGCAAATTATACTGAATCAAGGGAGAGACAGGGAAAAAAGAAAGAGTAGAACTGACTTTTCCTTTTGAATTATATTTTCACTGTTAAATAAAAAAAAAATTATCAACCGGATTTCCATATGCACACTCCATGTGTGAATTCAAAGAATATATCTGATGATAAAGATAAGAAAAGTTTTACCCTTGCAGCAGTCACAGGCATCTCTGGAAAGAGCCTGATGATCTTTGCAGCTGCGCCTCAGCTGCACTGTCCCAACCCCACCTGGTTTCTGAAGGGATCCAGGGACAAGGTGGGAGGAGGGTGGGAAATGAGTGCATATGTGGACACTGCTTCTTGAGGAAGAGAGTTGCTGGGAACATCTCCTTCCATCTTCAAGCTGTAGCTCAGCGTACGTTCACATGTAGGTGAACGGAAGGGAACTCCAGCCAGTACACGTTCATATTTACACGTGTGTAAGTCTTGGAGGTGTTAATGAGAACAGCTAGTGCAGGAATCCTCTAGTAAATGTGAATGGCATGCTTGAACTACACAGTATAGTGCCAGGCACAGGTGTGCTAAAATGTCTGGCTATCAGTGTGACAACAGTCCAGGAAAGACACATTTCCCAGCAATTCCCTTTATTCCATATAAGGTCTAGGGGACAGTGCATGCTGCCTGGAAGTGCAACTGCATGGAAGCTCACTGGGTTCCTTTTGATGGGCAGTGCATTGAGACAACTAAAATATCAGACTTGGTAACAGAATGTGGTGTTGCCAGTACAAAAAGAAAGATTCCTCTTGACATTGGCATTAAAAACATCTCTCAACCACAGAGGTAGCAGCTTGGAGGAAAAAAAGCCAGAACAACCCACTGGAATGATAGGTAAATTGGTTTCCTAGTTAAGGTGGATCTTGGCTGCAACATGGGTTGCAGAATCTTCAGCTGCTTGGGGTGTCATAGTCTCTGAAAGAACATTGCTCCATGCAAAGCAGCCATGAGGTCCAGCTGTTAGCACAAAAAAATGTCTATCTATCAGGAAATGCAGACTTATCTATAGCAAAGAAGAGTCCAAAAGAGTCTTAAATAACAAATTCTAGTCTAAGTGAGGGACCAGGCACTCAGCTAGTCCTTTCAGTGATTTGAGGAAAGCTGCATATAAAACATATTAATTTCCTGAATTAACTGGGCAAACAATAAGATACTCGTGTAGGCTGTTGAGGGGGCAGGGCGGAGCAGGGAGGCAAGTTACACTTGCAGCTTTGACTTCTGCAATGAGACCTCAGTCAAACATACGTGGACAGGTTATGAAAAGTGAACTCATTATCAGGGGTAGAGGAGATGATTGAGAAGGGACCTTATAAATGTCTACAGATATCTGAAGGAAGAATATCAAGAGAACATTTCCAAGCTTTTCTCAGTGGTTCCAAGAGGCAATGGGCAGAAACAGAATACAAGGAAGAACTCCTTTACAGTGTGAGTGACCAAGCACTGGAACAGATTGCTCAGAGAGGCTGTGGAGTCTCCTTCCCTGGGGATGTTCAAGAACCATCTGGATACACTCCTGTGCAGTGTGCTCTGGGATGACCCTGCTTTAGTAGGGAGGTTGGACCAGATGACCCAGTGTGGTCTCTTCCAACCCAACCCATTCTGTCACTGTGTAGTGAATAAGAGCAGATAACACAAAATGCTTAGACTGTGGCTCCTGGTTGCACCTGTAGGAGTGCTAGCAGGAAGATGATGTCCAAGGTGGGGAAACATTTTCTGGAGGATGTTGTTTGATGTTGAAATCCATAAGAACAATTGGAGTGATGAGGAAATTTAAATTGTTGCTAAGACCTGTGGTACAGGGGTTCATCCCAAAGCAGCCAGTCAGTCTGAGTTAAATCACATAATTTAGGAACAGATTGCCCAGAGAAGTTGTGGATACCTTATCCCTGGAAATGTGTTCGAGGCCAAATTGGATGGGACCCTGAGCTCCCTGGTCTAGTGAAAGGTTTTCCTTCCCATGGAAGGGGGTTGTAACTAGATGATGTTTAAAGTGTCTTCCAACCCAAACTATTCCATAATTCGATTCTATTTTATTATTCTGTTGGACTGGGTCCAAAGGAAAAGACCATCATATTTTCCTACTGCTTCCACTTGTTGATCAAGTTCCTTGAACTTGTTTGACTGAACTGCACCTCCAGATGATGGTGTCAGTGATGTAGGCACAGGCTCCACAGGGTTACAAGCCTTAAGGTTTGACAAGGGAAAAGAGGTTTGTTGGTGGCCAGACTGAAGAAGTTGAGCATATGGGAACAAAGGATTTATCAGGGCCTTCTGCTCACTCACATGGCTCAGCACAGAAGGACAGGACATTGTGGCCCATTCGGACCCGAGACAAATCCAGAGAGATGAAGCCAAGCTGACATCTCCCCACATGACAGTCTTTGCTTCAGCCCTTTCCAAAGAACTGCACTTCCTTCAGAGAGTGATATCCTTAGGATGACCATTTTTATATAATGTGCTCCTTGGTATCTAGAGAGTGAGTCCTGAGGTACGAATGGTAGGCCGGATTCCTGAACACAGAAATAGGGTGAGGAGGGTCAGTGGTGTCGTAGTTGTGGGGGCAACATACAGCTAGTAACACTCTGGAGGTGAGCAATGGCCAATGGACAGAGAATGGGCTTTAGCTTGCCACAGAGATGGCTCAGCAGCTCAGACATAGTGTTGTTGCAAACATGATGATCCAAAGACATAAACAAGGAAAGGCCCCTACAGAGAACATCAATAGGTCCATCAATTTTTTCTGGAACAAAGCAGGCAGACTTGCAACACACACCCTTCTTCCTTATTGCATATCAAAAACATACCTGTTTTTGCCAGCTACATTGTTTGGTTAAGTAAGAAATAGCAGGTCTTCTTTTGAACTCTGCCTCTGATACGTGGAGGCAGATTTACCCTTTACCTTTATTTGGAATGGGTTGGTATCCTTCTATTGATGCAACACATCGAGAAAAAGTCTTTTATCTGTCTGTTTTCCAGTGTTTACTTACTGGCATTTCACCTAGAGATATAATCCTGAGTAATTTACCCAATATGCAATTCATACCTGGAATTCACAGGCACAAATGAAGTAATATGCTCTAAAATTTTATTCCAAAAATTTATCAGAAAAGTTATGATCCAGGTATCAAAATAAAAATTATATTACTTATCTCTAGAAATCTCTTGCCAAATTGTCCTTCCCTCCAGCTTGCCAAGACTGACACTAGCTAAATGATCTGATGATTGCCTTGATATTTTAATGCTTTCATTTTATCACTATGCCTTGTAACAGCAGGAGAATGCCAATTTTGTGTGTGTGTGTGTGTGTGTGTGTGTGTGTGTGCACTCAGGCAAAATCTAGCATTGCAGATATTGTAACAACCAACAAAATGTAAAATGGAGGCAAATACCAAGACAAGTAAAAGTGGAAAATAAGACAGTTATTTGCAATCATAAAGAAAAAAAATGAACAACTGTATTGCATTGCTGTATGACAGATATTATAGACTCCTGCTAGAAAACAGCAGGAAACTTTCATCTGATTGGCCAGGCTAAACTCAAATGAGCAGAGGATAAAAAGTAATACATTGGTTTGATTGTCTGACTCTTGAAACTCAAATAACTTTTACTAGATTTGTTATTATAGTCCTTTATTCATTGTTGTTTTAATATTTACATGGGTTATAAAAGCTTTAGTATTTTCAAATTGGCCTGCAGTCTCAGTAAAGCAAAATAATGTGAAGAATTTTATCTTGATATGTTTATGATGGAATCTCACACAAAAGAGGAAAGAAAAAATAGGCAGTCGTATCAAAAGCAGAAGAAAGGAGTAGATCTAATATAGTAAATCAGCTTCCTCTCATTGCAAAAAAGAACAAAAAGTTTCTTAAAATTGGCATTTTATGCCATGACAAATGTTGTTATACGTGCTTATGTCCACTAGGCTTATAATATTAGTAGCAAATGCAATGGAGCACCTTGAGATAATTTCTATCTTAACAATGATCCTTGTGAGTCCCTTCCAACTCAGGATATTCCATGATTCTATGAGTCCATGTCATACCTTTCATTCATAAAGACTTAACCGTCCCCTCAACATTCCTTGCTGTCGATACAAGGAGCAGACAATACTATCAATCCTCAGAGATCAGTCACTGCTGACTGATACAGCTCTAAATTTGAAAAGTAACTAACACTGTACTGGTAGTGTTAGTGTACTAAAGGATCCACAAGTAAGTTATATCAATACAAAATTATTTGAATAAAT